CTGAACACAAATATGAGTGTTTAAAACAGTAAAACTTATCACAACGATTAAATCACCAGTAAAAGTGTTTTTTTGTGTAAAACAAATATGAACGCTAACTTTGGCAAGCGTTTATGGCTAAGTGGCTACTACAAAAGACTGGAGATACACCATTTTGAATACCATGTGTTGTCTACTTTTACTAATGGTATGCCATGATGGGTTAATTTTCATTCCTGGGTTGCTATATGGTCTCAAAGGCAACATAGGCCCAACAAACCAATCTGGCAAATTTCAATGTGATAACATGGAAAAGCCATACATTTGACCCCTGTAAGCTTGCAAAAACCCATAAAACCTGTACATTGGGGGCACTGTTGTACTCGGAAGATGTTGCTGAACACATATTGGGGTGTTCTTTGTCAGTAACACATAACAGGAATTAAGAACCAATGCCTAAAGTACAATGTGAGAGAAAAATAACAAAAAAAATGACGACCCAAAAATTAGACAAAGACTGGTGATAGAATTAGTGCATGGGGGTAAATTACATTGGCCGGCTTCAAAAATGTCCCAAATAGGACAGGGGTGCATGATGACCAGCTGTGAAAATTCCAAGTAACCCTCCAAATAAGGACTTTTAGCCCCCAGAGAACCTGACACACCTATACATGGGTGGTATCACTGTACTCAGGAGATGTTGCTGAACACATATTGGGGTGTTCTTTGGCAGTAACCCTTAAAGTTCTCTGTACATGTATTCTTAAATTGCTATGTGTGTAAAAAAATAAATAAAAAAAAATTGGTGATTTATTTTTTTTGGCATAGATTGGTGGTAAAATGGTTGCATGAAAAGTCAAAATACCCCAAGTTTAATACCTTAGGTTGTCTTCTTTTAAAAATATATATTCATGTGAAGGGATATTCAGGGATTCCTGACAGATATCAGTGTTATAATGTAACTTGCATTAATTTTGAAAAATAAATGGTTTGGAAATAATAACAACAAAGTATTTAACCAGGAAATGTACATTCAGATTACTCTGGTTTTCAAGTACATCCTGGGGGTGTTACCTTAGTCCAACATCCATGGGTTGTTACTTTTACCCAATTTAATGGTACTCATTTTATCTACCTTGGAAGGACGAAGGAATAGCAAAGTGCTACTTGTACAATAGCCTTATAACTTTCCAAAAAAAGCTAAAAACATGTTAACATTGGGCATTTCTAAACTCAGGACAAAATTTAGAAACTATTTAGCATGGGTGGTTTTTGGCGGTTGTAGATGTGCAACAGATTTTGGGGGTCAAAGTTCGAAAAAGTGTGTTTAAAAAATTTTTTCCATCATATTTTATAATTCTTTAATAGTAAATTATATATATGATATGATAGAAATAATGGTATGTTTAGAAGGACCATTTAATGGCGAGAAAAACAGTTTATAATGTGTGTGGGTACAGTAAATGAGTAAGAGGAAAATTACAGCTAAACACAAACACCGCAGAAATGTATAAAGAGCCCTGGTCGTTAACAGTAAGAAAATTGAAAAGCGGTCTGGTCACTAAAGGGTTAAGAAAAAGTATTAACACTATAGAGCATAACTAATATGAGGCTTTTTAAAGTAGAGACTTATTAATCTCACCTCAAAAAAAACCTCACTGACGTGTGGGAGAGCTGGTGACACGGTGAACCCCTGGTGTCAGTAGGGTCCTGCACAGCTTTATATGACAAATCTGACATTTTTCCACGCCAAATCTCAGAGTTCTGATCTGTGCATGAGTGGGTTCCACTGAAGTGCGCAGGCACTTAGCCTGCCTCTAGATTGGAGGGCCGCCTGGTACCTCCTATTTCTTGCTGTCGGCATAAAAATCCTTTCCACTTACGTTCCGTAATGTGTAGTGGAACGGTAACCATGCAGCTCACCTTCTGGGAAGCTTTTGGGTCTGCACCTCCCGGTTTGCCTCACCAGTCCTTCTGGAGCATCTTGTCGGGACAAGAAGAACTGAGGATGCAAGGAGGGGATGTCTTTTATACGTTAGTAGGCAGGATTATGTTAATATTTTTACTTTTGCAGAGCTTTTTGTCCACTTCACAGAGGGAAGTACCCACTTGTACAGTACTACCACTTACGACAGGAAAAAAGTGATTTATCAGCCCAGGTAACAATTTTCCCTTACTCCATGGGCAAGTTCTAATGTTCATGTCTTCATTGAATGTGCTTCCGGTGGTGGACCAGGGTCATCATGGGACCTGACTGGTCTGTGGCTACGCAGCACCATATGCTGCAAAAAGTGATGCACTGTGTGTTCTGACACCTTTCTGTCATGGACAGCATTAAATTGTTCAGCAACTTGAGCTACGGTAGCTCTTCTGTGTGATTGAACCAAGCATTCCCTCCCCACGTGCATTAATGAGCCTCGGGCGCCCATGACCTTGAACCCAGTTCACCAGTTGTCCTTCGCTGCACCAGTTTTGGTAAGTACAATCCATATCGGGAACATCCCACAATTGTTTTTGAGATGCTCTGACCCAGTTGTCTAGTTATCAGAATTTAGCCCTTCTCCAACAAACTCAGATCTTTTCTTTTGCCCATTTTTCCTTCTTCCATCCATTATATTTTATATAGCACCAACTAATTCCACACCATTTTACAATATTATGAAGGGAGAGGGAATTTACAATAAATGAGACGATTACACAGTGACACAGGAACAATAGGTAGATGAGGGCCCTGCTCAAACAAGCTTACAGTCTAGAAGAGGTGGGGTACTAACAGCAAGGGTGACAGCCATCAAACAAGGTGGAAAAGTAGCATAACTGGAGGTAAGAGTGGATTAGAATAAATTCAATAACTGACTTCACTTGTTGCTGAATGTATCACACCTCTTGACAGGTGCCATTGTAATGATATAATTAATGTTCTTCACTTCACCTGTCACTCAGTGTTCATTCTGGCAGCAAATTTCAATTTAGTTTTAGTCAGTCTTTTGACTAAAAAGCCGTTTTAGTCGTATTTTAGTGTCTGAATTGTTTTAGTCAACAACTAAAATCTAATGGATTTAGTGGCCATTTAGTCTAATGGTCTCTGTCTCTTTTGCCCCTTATTCAGTCCCTCTGTGTCTCTGTATCCTCCCAGCCCCTCTAAGTATCTTTCTCCCAAGCCCTGGTCTGTCTCGTTTGCTCCTTCCACAGCCCATTACACGTGTTGGGATGGTAAATGGAGGAATGAGTGATCTGTACAAGGGAATATGTTTTGCAGAGCATGAGGTGCTTTAAAGTTAGATTTCATTTGTATACTCAGTAGAACTCAGAAAGATTTAGGTTGTGGATTATGAGAACACAAGTGGGGAGTCTCATTTAATGTAGAAAATCAAAGGAAAAGTAGACAGTTTCTGGTGCAGATTTTGGATTATAGATGTGGGTAAGTATGGTCTGAAGCACAGGAACTGTTTGTCTATTTGATGGGTGCAATTTGCAAAGGTTAGGATTGGTAACGGCACACTTGGCAGGCTACATAAAAATCAAATTTTGCATTAGATCCATATTTTTTGCTTTTGGCCAAGTGTACCTAAACTAGTAAGGTTTTGATATATTGTATTTTTTTTGTTTTTGTCAAGATCAGAAAAATATTGGCTTATTGATTTCAAATAAATCTGACTCATGTTGAAGGTACCGAGAATCCATTAAAATATAGATAGAAAATATTTGAACTGCTTATTTGTTATTTTTTTATTAATAATTTGTCAACATGAGTACATCAAATCTAAAAATAAATGCCGAACTCTCACACTTCATATTCACCACCAGACATTGGTTAAGACTAAATTAGAGAGACAAAAATGTAGAAGAATAAAAAAAAATTTCAAAACACAGAGATTTATTGTACTTTAATAAGAACATGGAAACCCTAGTCAGCCCTTCACAAAATTAAAATACAGGAAGTAAAATGTAACAGAGTCTACAATAAGACATAAAAATCTTGAGTAACTGAACACAAAAACATACCTGCAAGTGGCACAACTGTACAGGTGGGGAAATGATCAACTCTCCAAACAGCATTCCAGAAAGTGTTTGAATTTGAAATAATGATATTAAACTTAAAAAAAATTTGCTTTAGACAACATTAAAAGAAAAGTAAAGACTAATTAAAAAGGTACAAATATCCCTTTTCTTTCACGTGTAAAATCTGAAAATGAAATGGAAAACGTGCCAGACATACTTTTTGCCAAAGTGTCGCAGTAGCAACTGTGAACCTACACTTTTAATACCAGTGTTCTGAATAAGTGCCTAATAATGGCTTACTCTGTCAACACGAACACTTGTTCTGTTGTAGGGATCATTGACCCTTCTAGATACCTATAGCCCACACTCATACGACTGAATCTACTTAAAAGTTGATTTAAAAGGAAGACTAACTGTAATGTGTGCCTTTTTTATAATGCAGGAAAAACAGCTGTGATATTTCAAAAATTTAAAAAATGTCTAATTCCATGAAAGAGTAACTGCTTTACTACAAACCTATATTTTTAAATAAATACACAATTTTTTTTCAACCCTTTAGCACCCCAAGGAAAAGCATCAAATCTCCCCATCCCCAATTTTATTTAGTCGTAGCATATTGAACTATGCCATTGGTATTTAATAGAGTTTTGGAAACTTCACCTGATCTGTATTGCAAATAACTACTAGAACAAAGAGTTTTGTTTCCAATGAAATAGATATTTCGTTGTACTATCGTTTTTCTCTGCTTTTTTTTTTTCTTTTTTCATTTTACACTTTAACTATGTTAGTCCATCTTGAATTATTTTCTCAGAAGACTTTAAAAGACCAGAAAACAAAGCACGATAGAGGCAAAACATGTGCTCTTCTACATTTCTAGTTCTGCATTATACTAGAAGCACTCTTGGCCAGTGCTAGTGTGGTGAGATTTCGAGAGGGCAACAACAACAAAAAAGTTGCCTTCCGATAAAATCCATAAGTTGAACTTCTTACTGGTACTTTCGATATGAGGCTGTAAGAAAATCGTGGCTTGCTTGTTTAATGGATCCACGCAGTTTATCTAAGAAAGCTTCTAGTCATAGCAAGCACAAGTCCAGCTTCTGAATGTGTCACCATGGTTTGGTTTTGTTTTTTTCTAAGTCAATAAAGCCACATTTACTATGATCTAACCAATTTTGATTCATGAGCTTTCAGCGTTCCGACTGCATCTTTCACTGCATGGTAAATAATATTCTTCACCTGCACAAATCATTTGAAACATGAAAACAAGTTATTATACGAAGAAGCTTGTTACATATACATATGTAGATAAGATAGATCTATATGAAAACTCTTAAAAGAACATAAAGTGGACTTGTTCTACATCACCTGTACTCATAGTTAATAATTTAATTACCTGTAGTTTGTCCTCATGATTTGTGTGTGTGTTTGAAAGGTGCCTGAACTCCTGTGTCAAGCGGAAGCAGTGTTTCACATGTTCTGGAGAGACAAAGTCTTCTGCAACCTTTATACAACTGTGTAAATTGTGAACCTAAAGAAGAAATCAATAGGGTGAAATTATACACATTAACACAATACAACTTAACTTTACAATTCATTCAGCAATTGCAAAGGAAAGAAGCACATTAATTTCTTACTTTTGTACAACTCAATCTACCCAGCAAGTGTAGGACTGGGAAAGACTTTACTTGTACTGTTTGTAGGAGTATGTTATGGTATGTTCCTTCATTGTTTCCTCTTACTACTTCTCTCTATACCTTTCTTAATTTCCTCTCCATTATTTCCCTGTGGTTAACAGTTGTTACCTTCATTATTTCCCTCTCTTAAAAAGACTTCATGATACTAGATTGCTGTCCTATTGAGGATTCTATATACTCTGAAAGAAAAACGTTGCATTGGTTTTGCATTTTATTCCAACCATTGATCTGTGTATTGCTTTTGTAAAGAAAACAAACAAAAAAAACACACAACTTTAATTGGATACTGTGTATTTTATGTACATATTCATGGATCTTACAACAATAAGGAGCTTAACCCCTTAAGGACTGGACTGTTTTTGTGATGTTGTACATTTGCGACCAGGCCTCATTACACTTTTGTGGTGTTTGTGTTTAGCTTTAATTTTCTGCTCTCTCATTTACAGTTCCTATACAAATTATATATTGTTTTTTTCAAGACAAAAAAGGCTTTCTTTACATATCATTATTTATATACTCTCATGTAATTTAATTTTTAAAAAAAATAATAAAAAAAATACGTTTTTTGACTTTTACTTGAAAAATCTTTTACTCATCTACAAAAGCGAATAAAAAAAACAAACTGCTAAATAGATTCAAAATTTTGTCCTGAGTTTTAAATGCCCAGTGTTTACTTGCTTTTTTTTGCAAGTTATAGGGCTATAGGTACAAGTAGGATATTGTGGTTTCAAAACATAATTTTTTTCAAATGTATCAACAGTGACATTGTAACACTATTATCTGTCATAAATCTCTGAATAACACCCCGCACATGTACATATTTTTTTTAAGTAGACAACCCAGGGTATTCAATATGAGGTGTGTCCAGTTTTTTTTAAGTAGCCACCTTGTCGCAAACACTGGCCAAAGTTATATAGTTCATATTTGTATGTGTGTGAAAAAAGTAAAAAATTAAACTGAATGCTAATTTTGGCCAGTGTTTGTGACTAAGTGGCTACTAAAAAAGACTGGACATACCCCATTTACAATACCTTGGGTTGTCTTCTTTTGCACATGGTATGCCATCATGGGGGTAATTCTCATTCCTGGGCTACCATACGCTCTCAAAGGCAATGTAACCAACCTGGCCATTTTCAATGTAAAAATATTTGACCCATATATTTTACCCTGTAACTTTCAAAAACGCTATAAAATCTGTACATGGGGGGTACAGTTATACTCGGGAGATTTTGCTGAACACAAATATTAGTGTTTTAAAACAGGAAAACGTATCACAACAATTATATCATCAGTAAAAGTGCTGTTTGTGTGTGAAAAATATGAAAAAAGTCACTTTCACTGACAATATCACCGCTGTGATATGTTTTACTGTTTTGAATCACTAATATTTGTGTTCAGCGAAGTCTCCCGAGTAAAACGGTACCCCCCATGTACAGGTTTTAGGCATAGGCGTGCGCAGCCTATTGCATTAGGGTGTGCACCCTAAAGCACAAACACGCCGCGCACGCGTGCGTGTGTGTGTATATATATATATATATATATATATATATATATATATATATATATATATATACACATATATATATATATATATATATACGTATATATATATTCACAGACACACACACTCACACTCACAGAAACACACACTCACTGACACATACTCACACACTCACTGACACACACACTCACAGACACATACTCACACACTCACAGACACATACTCACACACTCACAGACACACACTGACACACACTCACATTCACTGACACACACACTCACAGACACACACTGACACACACACTCACACACACTGACACACACTCACACACTCACAGACACATACTCACACACTCACAGACACACTGACACACTCACAGACACACACTGACACACACACACACTGACACATACTCACACACTCACACACTTACAGACACACACTGACACACACTCAGACACATACTCACACACTCACAGACACATACTCACACACTCACAGACACATACTCACACACTCACAGACACATACTCACACACTCACAGACACACTGACACACTCACAGACACACACACTCACAGACACACACACACACTCACAGACACACACACACACACAAATTATTATATTTTAATTTTTTTTTTAAATGTCCACCCAGCCTCCCACCTGGAGTGCTGGTGGACTTGTCCCTGGGGTCCAGTGGGGGCGGGCGCCTCTCTGCAGGTCAGCGCGCGGCGAGGGAGCTCTCTGCTCTCTGCTCCCTCTCGCCGCGCGGGCTGTCTGCTGGAGCTGGGAGCCGGAATATGACGTCATATTCCGGCTCCCGGCATCAGCGCGCGGCGAGAGGAAGCAGAGAGCAGAGAGCTCCCTCGCCGCGGCTGAGCTGCAGGGTGGGGGGAATCATCACCTCTTGCCCTCCCATGACAGGGGCAAGAGGTGAAACAGGGGGCACTGAGTGCCTGCAGGAACAGCGTTCCTGCTCAAAAGAGTGCAGGAACGCTGTTCCTGCAGGACTCAAACCATAGGGGTGCGCACGGGGATTAGGGTGTGCCCAGGCACACCCGGCACACCCCGTGCGCACGCCTATGGTTTTAGGGTGTCATAGAAAGTTACAGGGTAAAATACAGTGCAAGCAAATTAAATTATCTGGACTTTCGGCCTGGGTTGGCAGGCAGGTCCCTCAAATTGCAATTAATAAAATTACTTAATTACGCACGTAGAATTTAAAAATATATGCATATTTATATATTTGAAGTCTACGTGTATATTTATATAATTTTGTATATGGACATATGTATATTTCGTATTATTTTTATTTATTTATATATACATAGATATATATATACAATTTCATTCTAAGTGTATTTTGATATAAATATATATATTAGTATCAAAATACAGTTAGAATAAAATTTCATATAGATATAATTTTTTTATTATTTTACATTTATTTAATTTAAGCTACTTATTTGTATTTTATAATTATATATATATATACACACAATATATATATAATTATATACTGTATATACGTGTGTAATTTAATTATAAGTGTATTTTTATATTAATATATGTACATATTAATATAAAAATACACTTATTATGACATATATATGATATATAGACATATCATACAGATATAATCACACACACATATATAATTTTTTTTATTTTTTTTTGTATTAACATTTAACTTTATTTTATTTTTTTTACACTTGCAGGGAGACTGCCTGTCAGCACAGGCAGTCCCCCTGCAGGCAGACACATGGACACCTATTGTGATCATGTGATCGTTCTGTTAAGCGATCATATGGCCACAGGGGTCCTAATCCGCCATGGGGAGACTGTCTGGGCTGCAGGCAGTCTCCCCACACCGGGAGCACTGCCGGGTAAATGACGGCGATCGGGTAAGTACATTGGACCGTGAGGACGGTTCAGGACCGTCATCGGTCGGCAACGCTAAAATGCCGATGACTGTCCTGAACCGTCCTCGGTCCTTAAGGGGTTAAAAGGCACATGTGCCACTTTGAGAAAACTGTATTGTTCAAAAACTTTAGGTTTGTATGAGCCAGTTACCTCACTCTGCAGGATGAAAAAAGCAGCTAAATATAATTTGAGGAGGAAGTGGGAAGCACTGATCTAACCAGTCCTATCCCTAGGAAATGCATCATTATAGTTGTAATAACGATATTATAGTTATGCAATCTGAGGACGTTTATTACATACTTCTAAAAGTTTTTCTTGCTTTATTTTGGTTTGTATATTTGTTTAAATGTGTTTGCATGCTGATTTAAAAAAAAAATATTGGCCAAGTGATGCATGTCCCTTTAAGCTATAGATTCAAAGTTTAATTGTGGTGTGAAGCTTGGTTTCGGTCATAAAGGTACTGGCTGTAATAGCTCTGTTATATCGAGTTTAATGTTAAATACCTGGTGAGGTGCTCCAGCAGGAATAAATACTGCATCTCCAAGAAACTGTACAATAGCCCAGCCTTGCACGCCATACTCATCATATAGACGTTTACGTAATGCCTGGTCTAAATACCAACTTTGGTCATGGATAGGGTCGTGATCTGGTGGATTTTCTTGCCCTTGTTCATCTCCAACCTTAAAAACATGGAAAAGGAAATGCAAACTGATCCAAAGCTGTGCAAACAGATAAATCACATGTAGTGGCATTATTAAGAAATATAGGAATTAAAAAAAGGAAACCTTTCTGAGTAGTTCACGGATCTTCTCTGCGTCCTTGGCTGCATAAATATGCCATAAAGCACCAGGCTTTTCCTTTCCTTCATGAATACGCTTTTTAGTTACTTCATCAGCATCTCCCTCTTCAATTGTTTTTATAACCTCTATAAAATAAAAAGAAATATGAATATTTTAAATGCAAAAACGATTATACAAAAAGCCAACCCCAAACAAAAAAGAAACCATACCTAAAACAAGCAATAGATATGCTTACCATCATCATATGCATATTCTCCTGTAGGAATGCCAACGTATACCATAACATTAACCGCATCAGAGACATCCAGATGCAGGTTTGTGGTACCAACTCTTCTATCTTCAGCAGTAATTAAACCTGTCAGAACATGACAGTAAACATATCAGACAGCAGTACTTGCATATAGAACAAAAGCACAAGGGAATATATAAATAGAAGTCATTACAATAAAACGTAAAAGAAAAAATATTTAAAAAGTAGAGCTTTCAGTTACTACATTATAGTAATGCAGAGTTAAAAGAAAAGATTGGTGATGCAGGGAACTATGAGAACCTGTTACGTACCATAGGCATTGTACATTTTAGGCCCCAGGTCTGGTCGCACAAAGTAGCTAGGCAGTCTAGAAGCCAAATTCAGTCTTCCATCTCTTTTTGTATATTCTGGGAGAGGAAGATTCTCCATCAAGTCTTCAAATCTTAAATATAAAACATGGATCAATAAGTTTTTTCTCTTACCTCAGAGGTGGTATGATTCAATGCATCCACTTGATTCCTTTATTTTATTTCCCTTTTAATTTAATCATCTGTAGATTAGGGGTCAGAATTGAGAGATGACTAAGCTCCTTTTAAAAGTGGACTTTATACACACACACACACATATATATACACACACACACACATATATATATATATATATATATACACACACACACACACACACACACACTTCTAGACAAAAAGCAAAAAGATGGTTCATTTGGCACATACAGGCCTCTGGTGCTGTCAACTGAAGAGGAATTTCAACCCCTTGTCATCTGTACACATAATGCATTAACTATTCAATCTGACAAAAACTAAAATGGACTACACCAAAACATGCAGTGACCTGTGCAATAAGGTATAGTATTTATGCTGCTTGAAGTGTTAACGTAACCTGGAATCTTTGGGGAAAAAAAAAAAAGACTTTTATATAAAGTATGACTTTATATAATAAAGAAGTAGCATACACTTTTTTTTTTTTTTTTAACAAGCAGTTCTTTCTCCTAGAACAGGGGTAGGCAACCTACGGCACTCCAGATGCTGTGGACTTCGTTTCCCCTGATGTTTTCCCAGCATTAGGACTAAGAGTTTTATGGGAGATGTAGTCCACAACATCTTGTGTGCCAAGGTTTGCCTACTCCTGTTCTAGAATATTCTATGTAACTACAGATGTGCATGTCTTTTATTTTAAACACCAATAAATGTAACAAAAGAAACACAGGGGTTCGCTAATCTTACCGTGTTGGCATCATGTCTCTAAAATCTTCCCCAGGAGGCCAGTCCTTCAATTTAAGAACCATTGGAGTGCCCTCATCTGACTTCAATCTCTCTGTGGAATAAAATGATTCTGTTAGCATTTTAAACAGTGCTTTCCTTACATAGAATTAAAGTGTACTAATGTATCTATTTTATTCAAATTAAGTTCAACACTTTGAAATGAGCACAAAAGGAAACAATACCAAGTAATATGGTAAATGCCAAAAACCACTTCAGCCTACAATAAAACATGCAAGTTTGAGGCTCTTGTACATTGTGTGTCCTTGCCTCCGTAAAAAAATAAATAAAAAATAAATAAATAAAATAAAAAATAAAATATATATATTCTCCAGTTGCCACAAATATTTTCATATGTAAGGGATATTTTGGGCACCAACACAATTTTAAGGCATTTGGGTCAGGTAGATTTTGGCCTTGTAAACTTTTTTTTTTTGCTTGTGCAAATCTTTGTTAGTTTTGAAAATACATACATGTCCCATCAATCCAAAAAAAGACTTCCTTAGTGTCAGTGCTTATATATATATATATATATATATATATATGTATGTTTCAGTAGGTTTTCTGATCGTCTACAATTTAGCAATAGATTACACGCATAATAGAGAAATTATAAGTGTGCACATGGGTGAAACATTAATCCTCAAGGAAGGTTTACTGGACAAAACACACGGTGGGAGGAAATCCCATGGGTAATAAAATTTACAATAACATGTTAAGCTTCTAGATAACGTCTTTTTCACTTTGTTTTGTACCCTCAAAGACTTGCAAAAAATATAGCATAATAGCAAGGCCAAATCTTTAAAATGCTCTGGTTGAGTTGGTGCCTGTACTGTCCCCTTTTAAACCCTATATCTTAAATAAATGTATTCCAACAAATGCCTTGAATTGTTTCATCTCTATTATCAACAATGTAAACCAAGAAAAATTAGAAAAAGAAATGTGCTTACTTTCAATGACTTCAAATCCATCCCAGAAATCACGAACTTTCACATCGGAAATAATTGCACAGTTCCGGCAATTTACTAAATCCACATCTTGGTCTCCAAATTCTAAACTAAAAGCTTCAGGTTTCCAGAGCTCAGACTTTAGCTTTTTTTGGACTCCAGAAACCAGCACAGGCTAAGAAAAACAAAATGAATAATAAGCAAGCAAAATAAACAAATAATCTTCCCTTCAGAAAAACAATGTATTAATAGACAACATTTCTCAAGTGACTTGAGTCCTATGACTTACCTGACCTTGCTTCCAACATTCTCTAAATATCTTCCAGTTATTTTTGTTGCTGGGATCATGAAGACATAGAAGCCTTCCATCGCAGAGCCAGGAATGTGAGGTGTGTGGGTCGAGAACGTTTAAACCCATCACCATCTCTTTTCCCTCTTTAAGGGCTTCAGAAGATGTGCTTGCTCTTTTAGCAGCATCTGAGGTCTTTTTATTTTCTACCACAGAAGCAATAATGTGGTCCAGGAAATTTGGTAAGCTGGATTTCCCCTTTGCCTAAAATTTTAATATTTTTCAAAAATAGACAAACATTAAATCAATGTGTAAAATAACTCCGACAATATAGGAATGAGCACATGGTAAAACAAATAAACTTGGATGTAACATTTAAACTGGCACAGGTTTGTTTGTTTTAAATAACATTAGTCTCTAATTTAATGACAAAGTCACATGAAATAGAAGGCTATTTGTATGCCCATGGAGACTGATTTTTGCAATTAAAAGCCACATTCAAAATGAGTTTCACATTTAAATGAATACTTCACACACATAAAGCACTTCAGCTTCTGAATGAAACAAGAATGAAAGTCTGTGCTTTGGGGAAAAAGAGGAGGTGCTTGCAAAGGCTGCAAACAATGCCCCCCTCCCCAAACATACACTCAAAGAAAACACACACTGTAATAAAAACATGTATGCATGTTTGGAGTATATCTACTAAACTTAAAAAGCTGATCTGGAGAATGTTTCCAGTTAGGCCTCTAAAACTCAATTTGAATTTGTGACAATTCAAACTTTGGTGAATAACCCTAAATATGTCTATAAGAATTGAGACCAGTTTCAGGTGTACCTATGGGAACCAACAGCTAGAGATTTTTTTACAAGGAATACATTAGTTGTCAGACATCAGTAATGCATATCACTTCTTGTACTACTCACAGTAGATGTGTTAAAGACGGGTGGAAATGGAATGCCTGCTTCTGTGTTTCCATGGGCAAGTTTTCCTGGGCCAGAGTGAAGAAGATCTCTTAGACTGGAACCCTCTGCTTTAGTGTTTCCAGCAGCTGGGCCCAGTAAAAGGCTATTAAAAAGCTTGGGTGATGATGTCGTTTTTGCACTTGCATTAAAAGCATCCATGCCAAAAGACGAACTTGGCTCTTTGTTGAGTACTGTTTTCAAAGGACTGACGTCTGGAACAGATAAAAAAAAAAAAAAAAAAGTATTGCAATTTCAAATTTTACTGATTTTATTCAAACCAAGTATTCACTTTTTAGTTTTTTCACTATGGAATAAAATACACCATATTCAATACCAATAATATAAATGTCATTCCCCCAAATATTATGGTATTATTACTCAAATAAATAAGGGGAAAAATATAAAGGAGCCATTTAAATAGCGTACAAGCAGGCATTCACTATTAATTTTACTGTAAACAGCACATCTTTAGTCTGATTAATCCAGTCAATGCGCCATTATTTGATTATGAAATGTATGCTTGATGGGTTCAGCCAATCACAATTATGCAATACAACTACAAATACGCTATTCAAAACCAGGAACTTGCAAATGCTAAAATATTTACAATCTTTAAATGTTATGTTAAAGTATTTGGTGTCAGTAGCTAGATCAGATTTCTGGAAGCTGTGGTTAAACTTATATAGAATTCTTATTTCAAAAGCAAATGTAAATTTAAAGGACCACTATAGTGCCAGGAAAACATACTCGTTTTCCTGGCACTATAGTGCCCTGAAGGTGCCCCCACCCTCAGGGACCCCCTCCCACCCGGCTCTGGGGAGAGGAAAGGGGTTAAAACTTACCTTTTTCCAGCGCTGGGCGGGGAGCTCTTCTCCTCCGATCCTCCTCCTCATCCCATTCGGCTGAATGCGCACATGCGGCAACTGCTGCGCGTGCATTTAGCCGGTCTCAGAGGAAAGCATTCATAATGCTTTCCTATGGACGCTGGCGTGCTCTCACTGTGAAAATCACAGTGAGAAGCACGCAAGCGCCTCTAGCGGCTGTCAATGAGACAGCCGCTAGAGGAATTGGGGGAAGGCTTAACCCATTCATAAACATAGCAGTTTCTCTGAAACTGCTATGTTTGTAAAAGAATGGGTTAATCCTAGCTGGACCAGGCACCCAAACCACTTCATTAAGCTGAAGTTGTCTGGGTGCCTAGAGTGGTCCTTTAAAAATAAATAAAAAAAAAGTCATGGGGCATAAGCAATTTCTCATAAAAGGCAATTTCTCATAAAAGACAACTTCAAAATAAAATCCATCCCATTCAAGACAATTTTGGGTGCATCAGGTACAATATCCAATAAAGAAAACAGGCAAAGTGTGTCAATAGATAACTGCGTAATACCTTTGGTCTCTTCCTTTGCTTTCTGAGCAGCCAGGTCTGCCAGCCAGTGCAGGGCAGAGGAAGGAGTGGATTCTGGACCCTGCTGTTTGCTTTTATTCTCCGTGCCAGCAGTGACACAATTAAGGTCACTCCTTGAAGCCTCATTGGATACATTATCCATACCTTCGGTTTTCAGAATTTCCTCAGGTTTAATATCCATGTCGTTACCTTCTCCAGTAGCGGATGAAGTGTTCTGCTCAACAGATGAAGCAGCAGTATTTACACTTGGCAGCTAAACAAACAATACAAATTAAGCTATTTTGTTTTTTTAAACATAGAGGGGATGCAGCCAATTAAATCTACACCTACTACTTTGAAAACTCTTAGGACAGTAATATTGGTGAGGTGCTCTTAGGTGCTCATAATTAGTACTCGTTAACTATATTCTGACTAGCGAGCATGATCAACAAGCCAATTAAGGGAAACTGATGATGGACATTGGGAGTAAAATAACAAGCACCCAAAAATCATTCAAACATTTCTTTCCTCAACTCGAACAGCACATATTATTGGTATGTATACGTACACATGCTACCGAGGTGCAAGAATTAAAAAGGTGTCCAGCCTTAAATGGGACATTGTAGGCACTGTAACAGTTTCACCTAATTGAAGTGCTTACAGTGTCCCTGGCACTGTCCTTACAATTAGCATTAAAAAAAAAAAATATATATATTTTTTTTTATTGCTGAACAAAAGGCCCCAGCAGCCAATCCCTTTTGTGCTGCTTGGGCTAATGTGGAAGCATTATCCAAAAAATAAAAGGGTGGCTGTGAGTGTTAGCTGACCATTTTCAGCCTAGCAAGGCACGCATTGCTTTTGTGATTTGCTTTAACTAAAATGAAATGTGTACCTCTAGTAGGGTCCAGTCTGCGGATGGTTTGGGATCTTAAAGGGAACCTATAGGCTAGGAATACAAACTTGTATTTCTAGCATTATAGCTCCCTAAAGTGTGCCCTTGCTAGCGTGACACCCCCGCAGCACACAACTCATTCTCACCGATTTGGCTCCTCCGTCCCAGATGTCAGGGACCTAATGCACGAGTATGGTGAGAGCATTAGGACAGTCCCATAGACATCCACTAGAGTTAACTCTGTATAAAAATTATTGCAGTTTCTCAATAACTGTAATAAATTACTATTGCAAGGATAAGGGGACTGGGACAGTGCACTCAGACCACTTAAATGAGCTGAAGTGTTCTGGGTGCCTATAGTGTCTCTTTAACAATGAAAGGGGAATGTGCCAGAGAACAACAGGAATTATATTGAACTCAATGAGATGAAATGGTTATAGTGCCTACAGTGTTTCAAAACATAACACAATCTATACGTGTGTGTGTGTGTGTGTGTGAGAGTAGATATAAAAAATAAAGTATGTAAAACATTTAATCTACATATATGTTGCCAAATTATGTAATACAAATGTATAGTTTCAATTTTTAATACTTACCAGAAGTGGAGAACATCTGTGTCTCTAGTTTAACTAATTGTAAGTTAGATAGAACTGACAATAAAGGAACACTATAGTCACCAGAACAAGAGCAGCTTAATGTAGTTGTTCTGGTGAGTATAGTATGTCCTTGCAGGCTTTTTGATGTAAACACTGCTTTTCAGAGAAAAAGCAGTGTTTACATTGCTGTTGGTAACATCTCCAGGGGCAGTCACTCAGACGGCAACTAGAGATGCTGGCATTCAGATCGGGGTTGTTGATGGGACACCTCAAGTGGCAGTAACTCAGACGTTCACTAGAGGTGCTTCCTGGGTCACAACGTGCAGCACTGACATTCACAGTATCCACGTACTGCATGGAGACACTGAACTTTCCCCATAAAGATGCATTGAGTCAGTTAAACTCTATGAGGATATGATGATTTGTTATGGTGGAGTTTGGCCCCGCCCACATCTCCTTGGCTGAGATAATCAGTGTTTTTATCCTATTTAGGTGGGGGCAAGAGGAGGAAGGACATCTAAATAGGGTTTTTCAGTCTCTAGATCAGGAATACACGTTTGTATTCCTGACTGCATAGTGTTCCATTAACTATGAAAAACCTTAAAACGGTTAAATTCTTTCACTGATTAACTTGAAAGAGCATAAAAATGTATATGTTGCAATAAAATAATTCTTGTTTGTTACAGGTGCACATCAAGGTTTCTAACTAAAAGCTGCATCACTGTTAAATAATATGCTTTGTATTTGTAAAACACTTCGATCATAGGAAAATTTAAACAGTCAGAAGAAAACAAAAAACAAAAAAACACACTACCAAACTGTATACCTTACTGAACAGTTTATGCACACATGGTTTATTTTGTTGCATCCAAAAAAATGGTTTTCATTGACACTGCAATAGTAGTAGTCAAATTAATAAAATGACCAGCCACTTAATTTCATGTAAATACATACCTGGGATATTCCATTGGTGACCGCAGGCCTTAAAACGGTTTTATTATGCCTGCTAATACATGGACAGTTGGCCTTGATACCCCATTTTCCTCTTGCTGCATGAACCATGTCCCCAATGTTGTAAAGAGCTGCAAGTAAAGTTTCCAGAACAATTAAGGCATAACATATGATTATAATTGAAACACAGAATCTGAACTTGTTAAAATGAAGGTATTTACCAGTGCCCGGAATAATCTGTGTTGGCATTAGATTCTCAGGTTCGTGAGGCTGACCTTTCGCACACTTTAACCAGGCAAAAACTTCTTCATCGCCAACATCATCTTCTGAAAAAGTCAGACATGTATATATTTAACTGTTGGTATTTAATTTTTTAACATCACCATCAGCAGACTACATCTTAGCCGGCATTTTACATGTCTATTTGCTCTATAAATAAGCTTTCAACACCACTATGACTCATTTTAATTCAAAGTATGAGTAAAGATTCCCAGTACAATTGCCACTCATAATTTAATAGTGCCAATTTCTGCAAGAACAGCAACACTACAGAACTCCCTCTGAAAGGTATGGACAAGTTGAGTGGTATATCCAGGAATGCCAAATCACACCCTATGATTATTTGCTGAACAAAAAGACACAATTGTACATAGTTGCCTATTTATTTTTATTTTTTTTAAAAACACACTGTCTATACGATACATTAAAATTGGTGGCGGCAAAATTAGTCTGGAGTGTCCCTATAAATTAGCTAGAGGTTCAAAGGCCATGAGAACACACAAAAGCTGCAAGGAGTCTGCTTGGTGTTATACACTGCAGCTACCTTGTCCTAGCTGAATTTAGCCATTAATCAATTTAACCTTTAATCAATATTATATATATATATATATATATATATATATATATATATATATATATATATATATATATATATATATATATATTTTTTTTTTTTTTTTTTTTTTTTTTTTTTTTTTTTTTTAATTCAAAAAGAATAATCATCTTTACCTCTACGAGGGCGGCTCTTTCGAAGTCGATAACAATCAAGACAGACGCCAAATCCACACTTGCGACATACCCAGTGAATGTTGAAGAGGGTGGTTTCGCACACATCACACATTTCCCTAACACCTCTTACTGCTCGCTTCCATGCCACCTTTTCTGTAAAAGTTCAATTAGAAAAATTTATAAAACAGTCTATCAAATATTAATCAACTTGTTCATAAACGCTCATAAACATCCTGGGAACAGCAATTTCTTAGACATATACTCAAAAGTACATTTGGTGCTATGGATATGCAAGGAAAAAATTTATTATCCAAGTAAACATCTCAGTTTAAGACAAAATAAATACAAATAGTACACTATCCATACATATGTATTTGAAGCCATAAAATAGGGCAATTAATTCAATATTATTAAAAATTCACTTACGTTGAGGCTCTACCATCATCATAGCTTCTTTCTCTGACATAACCAATTGACAGAACTGATCTCCAACATTCGCAAGAATATATTTTGATGTCTCTAAATCAATGCCTTCAGCTGGAACTGAGAATGGTACCCAGAGTCGCATTGCTTCTGAATCACTCTGCTGAGGACTTAGGAAACCTTCCACTCTGAGAATGCCTTTCCTTGTGAAAACCAGCCTAAAATAAAGCACAATTCTTATTACTAAAGTTGCATTTTAATAAAAACATCCATAAAAAAGAATCTGCTATTGAGATATTAAATATATTGGATTTTATTTTAGTTAAACTATGGGTAAAGGCTTTTTCAAGCAGAAGTTAAGAACGCTAAGAATACTACAAATTATAAGCACCAATTAACACAATGAGGGCTTGTGAATGTTGGGTCTCATAATTCTTAATTGAATTTGGGATTAGGTTGGGCAGTCAATAGGGTATACAGGGTATGTTTTGCTTTTACAGTTAAAACAGACAAATTAAGTGAACCAGTAATGACATGTAAGTTTTCCGTTTTCTAACCATCTGGCTTGGATCATGTTATACAATTAAGTGTATTTTAATTTATCCCCATTACCTTTCTCCTTCTGAGTCCATCAATTACATTTTCAGTGGGAGTTACACCTACTGTAAGAAACACTTCTTCTGGGTACCTCTGCTTGAGAAGCACAAACTTGCTTCCCATCACAGGTTAAAAGTCTCCAACACATTATGGTGGATTTGTAGTAGGTAAATAAAACATATCTGTTCTCTCATTCCATCCATTCTCAGCAAAGCTACTGCAATAAGTAACTCTGGCTGTTTCTCTCCTTCCTGCTGCTGCTCTCACACAGAGCCTGCCCCTCCTACCTATCACCCCCTAGTGGCTTCAGTTTCCCTGATAAACATGCAGAGCACAGCCTTATTATCTCTGTGCTGATAAGCATAGGTTCAGCATGGAGTGAACCCACTTGACAGGAAGGTGTGGAGCTGTTTTTAATCTCTCTTTTTAGAGAAGTCTAAACATTTTCTAGCAATTCTACTATAACAATGTGTATGTATATAAAAATGTGATTCTCTATCATTTAAGATTAAGTTGTAATTATCATGACAGGTACCCTTCAAGAATAATTTCCTAGTACTTCTAGAACAATTGTATGCTTAACGTAATCACAGATCTAAAATGTATACAAAATGCAAATTTTACGAATAGTAAAATGACAGGGGGAAAAGTTAGTGTGATCAAAATCCCAATTCTCTGCCATTTAGCAGTTACATCACTGTTGTTTCTGTTTATGCAGCCCTAGTCACACCTCCACAAAGCCTACATTGAAAAAAAAGGTTTAATTTCCAGATGCTAACTTGCTTTAGAAGTTTTATCTTCTGCTCTGTAAATTGAACTTCAATTACACACAGGAGGCTCCTGCAGGGCCAAGAGGACTTAAAGCAGGATATGAGAAATGTTAAATTATAAATAATGTGCAATAAAGGAAGTGTAGATATTAGATGACTCTTTAAAGGAAGTGTTTAGGAAGGCAGTGCAAGTCACATGCAGGGAGGTGTGATTAGGCTAATATAAGCAAAGTGATTTAAAGGGACACTAGTTACAGAATTACTACAGCTTATTGCAGTTGTTCTGGTGTCTATAGTCTATTCCTTTTTTATTGTAAACACTGCTTTTTCAGAGAAAAAAAAAAGCAGTGTTAACATTGCTGCTCGTAATATCTGCAGGGGCAGTCACTCAAGACAGCCACTAGAGATGCTGGCATTCAGAGTCTCTACGCTCTGCATGGAGACGCTGAACGTTCCCCATATAGATGCACTGAGGAGGGATGCTGACCGATGCAGTGTGACATTTTGCTGCGCATGCACTGATCTCAGCAACAGAGGTGGAGCCAGCTGCGACAAGACTGGTGCAGAGAGGAAGTAAGGTAGAGGAACACCACCTTTTCATAGGGAGGCGAGGACATCCAGGAACCTAAATAGTGATACCACCATTATAGTGTCAGGAATACAGGTTTGTGTTCCTGACACTATTGTGTTCCTTTAACTCCTAATCAGAAGATAATGGAGTAGTGAGACAGCAGAGATCTATACATCAAAACTGCTTCATTGAGAGGGTGCGGCTTGACCGCCAAGATGACCGGATGTGCTCTCTAACAGCTCCAGCACTTGGGGACAAAAATCCCTGAACGACTAAATACTGCCTCACTTTTGGCTCAGAGAGATCAGAGAACTAACCTGAACCAAGCGTGTCCACGGGGATACCTGAATTTTGCTGTTACTCTGAGAGGTCCCTCAATCCAACCTAGCATTCCTCGCGGCCTGGTGTCTGGAGGACGTGGCCAATCCCTCCGACCCGGGTCTCGTTGTGACTATAGTGCCTTATACAGCCCCTCAGCACCCCCCCTCTGGACCGGTGGGGGATATCCCTGTCCCCGTTGGGGAAAGCCACATACTCCGCTAAGCATAAAGCCCAGCAGCAGCGTGGTAAGCTAGTGATGGCTCCACAACCCTCTCGGCATGGGGGGGACCCAGAGTGTCTTGCGCCTTGCACCACAAATGGGATGACTAACACAAGGCTAGACGCGATATTCGCATCCTTTTGGCACAAACTGGCCCAACGTATGCAGCAATGCACACAGCAGAAAAGCCAGGGCGCATCAAAACTGAGTCAGCACAAAGTACCCACAAAGCCGGAGACTCCGCTACGATCTAGCCGACCCCACAAAGCTTCCTTATCTGCTAAACCTGGGACCCACGCAGCCTATGGGACTGCGGTCTGTTCTTTCGGGCCAAGGGCCCAATTGGTACCACCCACCGTCCATACACCCAAAGGAGATACCGAGTCCCAGAATACCTGAGGGCCCATGGTCCTACCGCACGCAACAGGGGGACCCATGGACACAGGGCAATGGCTCTCACAGCCTGGGCTCAAAGACCTGCACAAATATGGCAATTTATCCCACAACAGGCTATCTGCCAGGAACGTCAATGTCCCTTGTTGGGTCCCGAGGTGGAAGAATATGGCAGTATTTTTACCACAGAGAAGGACTCTCCTCCATGGCGCTTAGTGGAGTGGGCTGAATGTTCGCTGAGGACGTTCCACAACCGTGCTACTCGACACTATAGAGTTATATTACTCCTTTACCTGTAAAAATCATCCTATATCAGTACCCAGCGGTACACATAAGTTGTTTAGCATGCTAATAGTCTATTTTTATTTTTAATATCCGCACAGTCAGTCGATCCAGCTTGCTTCTCATACGTCTTTTTATCCCACCTCTGACTATCTCTCCTACTTATATTCTATAAAAATGTGCAGTATATCTGAATGTCACATCAATGATTTAACAGTCAGTATTTACTATGCTTGTGATTGCTGTCGTGGCTCAACGAGCTTGTTGTTATTCTTTGCATAACAAAGATACAAAAAAAAACCTGCTTCTTTAAGCTAAAGTTGCTTTGGTGCCTACAAAGTCCCTTTAAAATCCCACATGTAGAGTCAACAAAAAAAAGGTACAAGCTGTAATTTAGAGAACAAAAATATTACAAAATTGCTTTGACAGACTCCAATGCAATACCTTCGGAAATGAAAGAATCTGCAAGCCACAGTGGAATCGTCCTGATCCTGTTCTTTAAATTTGCGGTATCGTTCTAGTCTGCACTCCCGACACTTATGCAAATGTGGTGCAACATTGATGCAAGAACCATCTTGTAGAAAAGGCTCTCCAGACTGCTTTAATTTTCTTACTTTACTCATGTCCTTTAATACAGACTGTCCAACTGGATGGGAGTAAAAAAAAAAGCAAGATGTAATAGAGGATATAAATGCTAAAATTATTATATATAATAATATACACAGTTATATAAACTTCCATACAGAGTAACTGCAGATATTGGAAAGATGCTATTGAATAAGGTGAGACAGGGAAAAATACTGGTAAAGGGAAAGAATGTCTCTGAACTTACAATATCCTGATTTCAAGATGCAAAAGAGGCTTCTTAAAGAGACACTATAGTCACCAGAACAACTACAGCTTATTGTATTTGTTCTGGTGAGTAGAATCACACAGTGACAAAAAAAAGTGTTTACAGTACAGCCTAGTAATAACTTCACTGGCCACTCCTCAGATGGCTGCCATTCAGTGTCTCCAATCTCTGCATGGTGAAACTGAACTTTCCTCATAGAAATGCATTTATTCAATTCATCTCAATGAGGAAATGCTGATTGGTCAGGACTGTTTGGCTTGTGCTGGCTCTGCCCCTGATCTACCTCACAGTCTCAGCCAATCCTATGGGAAAGCATTGTGATTAACTCATCACGTCTGATGATGTCAGCCAAGTAGGCAAATCAGGGGCAGAGGAAGCCGTTGCAGACTTGAATACAAGTAAGATAGTATTATACTTTGGGAGACAAGGTAGGACAGATAGTGGTTTTGACACTATAAGGGTCAGGAATACGTGTTTGTGTTCTTGACCCTAGAGTGTTCCTTTAATCCCTTAAGGTGAGCCAAATGTACAAGTTGTGATCAAAACAAAATGTAAACAAAAACTGGAATTTGCGCTATATGTCTGTTCAGGTGTAATTTGCCTCTTTCATATTATGATCACCCACACTTTTTATATATCATCATTTTATTCAGGGGAAACAGGGCTTTCATTTAACATCAAATATTTAGGTATGAAACATAATTTAATATGAATAAAATATAAAAAAAATGGGGGAAAATAAGAATTTTTTAAAAATGTTTAGTTCTACGTGACATTCTAACTGAATGTCATAATACTGTTTGCTTTTACTGCAATAAAATACACATATTTGTATTCAGCCATGTCTCACATGTAAAACAGTAACCCCTATGTACAGGTTTTATGGTGTTTTGAGAAGTTACAGGGTAAAATATAGTGTGTTACATTTTTCAGTTTTTTCACATTGAAATTCACTAGATTGGTTACGTTGCCTTTGAGACCGTATGGTATCCCAGGAATAAGCATTACCCCCATGATAGCATACCATTTACAAAAGTACACAACCCAAGGTATTGCAAATGGGGTATGTCCAGTCTTTTTTAGTAGCCACTTGGTCACAAACACGAGCCAAAGTTAGTGTTAATATTTCAAAATGCAAAATACTAATTTTAACGCCAATTTTGGCCAGTGTTTGTGACGAAGTGGCTACTAAAAAAGACTGAACATACCCCATTTGCAATACCTTGGGTTGTCTACTATTGCAAATGGTATGTCATCATGGGGGTAATTTTCATTCCTGGGCTACCGTACGGTCTCAAAGGCAACATAACCAAAATGGCGAATTTCAATGTAAAAAAAAATAACGCAAGCCTTATATTTGACTCTAACTTTTGAAAACACCATAAAACCTGTACATGAGGGGTACTGTTATACCCGGGAGACTTTGCTGAATACATATATTAGTGTTTCAAAACAGTAAAACGTATCACAAAAATATCGTCAGTGTAAGTGCCATTTGTGTGTGGAGAAAAAAAAAAATCTAAAAATTTCACTTTCACTGACGATATCATCGTTAATACATTTTACTATTTTGAAACACTAATATTTGTGTTCAGCAAAGTCTTCCGAGTAAAACAGTACACCCCATGTACAGGTTTTATGGTGTCTTGGAAAGACAGGGTTAAATATAGTGCTAGCAAATTAAATTACCTGAACTTTCGGCCTGGATTGTCAGGCAGGTCCTGCAAATTGTAATTAATAAAATGACCTAATTATGTAAAATTATTACATAAATATATACGTAGAATTATTATATATATATTTTTTAAAAATTATATATATATATATATATATATATATACACACACACGTATATACTTATGTATATAGAGATATATATATATTTCATTCCACGTGTATTTTGATAGCAATATATATATTAATTTTAAAATACAGTTAGAACAAAATTACACATGTATATATATTTTTTATTAATTTTTTTACTTTATTTGTAACGTATTTACATATATATTTATTTTATATATAAATATATATGATAATTGTATGTGTACTTTGATATGAATATATATATATTCATATTAAAATACACTTAATAAGTATATATATGATCTAAGTATATATTATTTAATTTTACACTGTTTTAAACACTTAATTTTTTATTTATTTTTTACAGGCAGCACTCCCCCTGCTGGCAATGCAGTGGACGGCTATGCCGTCCATGTGATCGCGAGGTCCTCGCAAGGACCTTGCGATCACATGGCCCAGAGGGGCTGAAGAGGAAGGAGGGAGACTCCCTGGGCTCCAAGGTAAGAGCCCATACCTCGATCGCAAGCGACCGGGTAAGCACATGGTGTGGACATTCTATGCCGCCCTGCGGCGTTTAGAGCCACTTCCTTAAGGACGGTATAGAACGTCCCGCGTCCTTAAGGGGTTAACCCAAGTTCCGGTTATAATTGGATCTAAAAACAAAAGATCCCTCTCTGCAGAAGCGAGAAAAACTGACCTAATGATGGGCTGGCATACATGTCAATACAGGGCTTGACAAATTTGCTTGGAATCTAGGAGCCAGTAAAAAAAAGTTAAGAGCCAGGTTTTTCAATGTCAAAAATAAAATTCTTAAAGGGACACTATAGTCACCAGAACCACTACAGCTTAATGTAGTTGCTCTGGTGTCTGTAGCCTGTACCTGCAGGCTTTTCAATGTAAACACAGCCTTTTCAGAGAAGCAGAGATTACCTACAGATAGATTACTGCTCCCTTGCTCACCACTTCCATACAGCATCAGCCAGCCGCTTCCATGCTCCCAGTGGCGGCCGGCTTCAACTTTCCCTGCAGAGGCCGCCTAAGCTAAAGAGCTCACAAATCCCATGCACCAGGGTGAAATTTCTAGTCGCCATGCCAACCTGATGCCTGGGATGTTTGCGCTTGTCAGACTATTAAGATATACATACACTTCACAATATGCATTGTTTTTCTCAAAAAAAAAATATAATTTATAGTTAAAGTAACTATCAAAAGAAATAACATTCATAAGTTTTCACATGGTACATCAAGACTTTACTGTCTGTTATTGACTGAGAGAAACACTGTATGTCCTCTCATCTGACGTCAGTACCTAAATTATCTTTGTCTCAATGATAAACCATTATCATTGAGGAGGTATCCATATCCAAAATAAATATATATATATAAAAAATAATTTATATGCTACTAGCCAGGCCTTTTAAAGTAATTCGCCACTACAAGTCATAGAATACTCACCAGTAGTGATTTTTTTACTCAACAGTGCTAACTTTTCTCTCTCCAATTTCCAGATATCCCGGGTAAACAGGAGATGGCGAGTAACTTTTTGGGCTAGTAGTGAAGGACATAGAATTATATATATTCCTTACATATTAATATTTTCTCCTTCTCTGATGGTGTAACAGTGGGAGTGCGGAGTGTGCTCTGCTTGCAGCAATTTTCACTCCTCTACACCAAGTGGGAAGTAGGACATATTTAGATCTTCTAAGATCAATGGTGCAATGCATCAGATGCTTCTCCTTCCTGTCCCTTTCTTGCATTTTACCTCATGTTTTATTTCTTTGAAAATGTTGTATGTTTTTTTTATGCATTAGGGTTCTTCTCCTAAATCCACACTTTACAATTGTACATTTAGGGGTATATTTTTACTTTCTAAGACCGTCAAACAGAAGACAGCACAAATATACTAAAAGACTGCATTTTCAGTCCAAAGAGCATAATTCTGAAACCAAACCACAATGGCTACAATGGCTACACGTAAATCCCTTATTAAAATGTACAGACTCAAAGCTCACCTACATGATCATTAATTCAGTATTATGCACTCAAATTCCAAGTTTCCATTGGACACTAAGTAGCTATATGAGCCACTCTCCCATCATCATCTGTCCACTTCCTGTTTTACTATTTGTATATTTTTTTCTCTGTGATAAACTTTTGACCATCTTATTTCTGGCTTTTGTAAACTGCAAAATTTACACAAAGAATTCTGGTATAAATAGGTAATTTAGTTACAAAAAAATATAGCCGTGACATCTAGAAGGTAGGTATAGCAATTAACTCATAATACTCTAGACCAGATTGTTATTAATCGTTATTAAAGCATGTATATGTCATAAATACAAAATATTGTTCCCTAAACTGGAACAGTGATGGTTGATGTATGGGATATTTTAACAGTCTCCATAGTGTTTTAACTGCTAACTAGATGCAGGTATGATAAAAGACTGCTCCCGGCACTGTTCCATGGCAAGATGCCAAACTATATATACATATTATAAACCGGGCCTAAAATTTGAATTCCTATGCTACTCGCCAGGCATTAAAAGTTACTTGCCTTGGCCATATTTGCCTTTCTAAAGCTTCCCTTAAAGTATGTAAAATAAAAATGTAAAAAAAACATGGCTTATATAGTGTTGATGTATTGCATCTGCTCCTAAAGGGACACAATAGTCACCAAAAGAGCTTTAGATTAATGAAGCAGTTTTGGTTTGTAGATCATACCCCTGCAGTCTCGCTTCTCAATTCTCTGCCACTTATGAGTTAAATCACTTTGTTTATGCAGTCCTAGTCACACCTTTCTGCATGTGACTTGCAAAGTCTTTCTTAACACTTCCTAGAGCCACGTGACTTAAAGGGACTTTCCAGGCAGCAGTTTTAACTCACCTGGTTCCAGCGCCAGGAGCCTCGTGAAGCTGCGCCCCCTATTTCGTCAAAATGACGAAATAGGCGGGCGCGAGCAGGGAGCAATCAGACGCTTCGATTTGGAAGCGTCATTGCTCCCTTGTGCGCATGCGCGGCTTTGCCGCACATGCGCACATACTTCAGAGGGCGGCATTCATGCCGCCCTCTTAAGTCCTGAGCGCACTACCACGCATGCGCACACCCGCGAGCTGACTGACAGCTCAGCTCGCAGTCTTTGCCCGCCCCCTCTCCTCTGCCGACAGGCAGAAGAGAGAAGGCGCGCACAGAGTGCCTTCTCTCTCCTGCACACGTCAGACGTATTTTAATACGTCTGACGTGTACAAGGCCTTTTTAGTGCCCTGCATGATAGGATGTCCCTCTGGTGGCCGTCTGAGTGACGGCCACTGGAGGTATTCCTATCAATGTAAACACTGTATTTTCTCTGAAAATACAGTGTTTTTCTCTGAAAATACAGTGTTTACATTAGATTGCCTGCAGGGAGCTATAGATGATACCTGAACAAATACATTAAGCTGTAGTTGTTCAGGTGACTATAGTGTCCCTTTAAACAGCCTTCCTAGAGTCACCTAATGTTTACACTTCCTTTATCGCAAATTACCGGTATATTTAATTTAAAATTTCTTGTCTCCTGCTCTGTTCGTAGCTTGCTAGACCCTGCAGTAGACTCCTGCATGTAATAAAATTTCAATTTACATAGCAGGAGATAAAAACTTTTAAAGTTAGTAACATCTGATTTTAAAAAATGACACCAAGGTAGGTGTGGCTAGGGCTGCATAAACAGAAACAAAAGTAATTTAACTAGTAAATGGCAGGGTATTGAGCATTGAGACTTCAGAGGCATGATCTATATACAAAAATTGCTTCATTAAGCTAAAGTTGTTTTGGTGACTAGTGTTCCTTCAAGTATTAAAAATAAAATACTGTGATCCGCACCTATAGCAAACATATCTGTTAAACTTTAATCCACACAAAATCTTTGATGCTTTACACAAGAACAAACCATTTGACATACAAAAAAAAAAAAAAAGTTACTTGGACACTATTACAAATTCCTATGCACACTTAAATAACTGGAGATTTTTTTTATTCCATGTAAGCTCACCTGCCACGTCAAGGCAAAACCTCTCAGGTGAGTGCTACACTAACATTTCACCTTGCCGTCTTCAGCAAACAGGTAAAAATCTTTAGAGAGAGAGGGGTATTTTTCTAAATCTCTACACGCCTATTAACCTTTAATAGGGCACACATGGGGTGGGTGGCAGCACTGTTACATGGCTGTGTTATACAGAAGCAAACACAAACATACAAAATTAGTACCTATGCTCAAACGCCCACTACTCCCAGGCAGCAGCAATGACAAACACATCAGCCCCAATACATACAATAAGAACCCTTTAACACGGTTTCAATGTCTGAGCACCTTACCTTTTAGTGGAGCCGTTCTTGGTCTCCCCTTAGTAGCCTGTTTTCCTCTCCCTTTTCCCAAGAACAACTCAACACCACGTTCTCCATTATGCCCTAATCTTCCTACAAGATGTTCTGGGATTCCTCTGAAACCAGCTTTTGAGTTTAGTTGTTCCTCTGTATCACTGAGGTCACTCAAATCACTGTTGGTGCTAGAATCAGAATCCTGCTTTGATGTTCTGCTTCTTTCATCCAGAGTAAATCTGTTAACTGATTCAAAAGCAGCCTTGCTGTCATGAGAAAATTCAGAAGTGCCGAGTACTCCAGGCTGGAGTCTACTCGACAATGCAGTAAAGGTTCTCAGTAGTGGATTGTCCAATTGATTAGATCCAATTGCTGGCTTATCCTCAGTTGGGCTCGATGATAAAGTTGGCATTTCAATGGGTTGATTTAAGTTACTCGCTGGTGAACTAGCACGTCCATTTCCCAAAAAGGCAGAAGTTTGAATAGCATCACTAACAGATGTACCTGAAGAGATTGGTAATCTTTTGGGTGAATCCATTGTGATAAACAACGGCTTTTTCTTAACCAAAGAACTGGAGTCCTCAGCCTTATTTTGCTCCTGCCAACTAGATAACGGGAGAGTACTAGTTATGGAACTTTGTATTGGCAAAGTTGAAAAGTTGAATGGTGAGTTGTCTTTTTTATCTGAAAAGGCCAAAAAAGGATTTGATGGTTCCTCTCTGGATAGTTTTGGAGGCTGCAAAAAGAGATTTTCATGACTTTCAGGAGGTCGAGTAGTTAAAACTTTTCCAGGAAAAGCAGGTGTAAGTTTTGGCATAGATTCAGAAAAGGACAGTTTTGCATTTCCTTTATTTTCAGATGGAATAAGCGTTTTAGGTTTGCAAAGGGTAGAAGCAAGACCCTCCTTATTTTGCTTCAACATGTCTCTATTTGGGGAGTCATCTGCCACACTCTCCGATATAGCAGTAAAATAATTACTTGGGGGGACATTTTGTGACATACACTGAAAAAACAAGTTTTTTGAAACATCAGTGTCCTTAGGTGCCTCTTGAATGCTACTTTTACCAAACTGAAACCCAATAGCTTTGTTCTCTGAAATTGTGCCATTTGATTGACTACGGTCCCCTCCAAATGTTGACTGGGGGAGAGACATGCCAAATCCACTCTTGGCCAGAAGAGATTTTCTTACATTCTGGAAAATATTAAAATAAATTGTAAATAACAAGTAGGCTCGATGAGATTCCAAAGTAATATATATGTTATAGGAAGGAAATAAGGAAAGAGGTGGGAAGGAAGGGAGGGAAGGAAGGAGGGAGGAAAAGGAAGGAAAAGAGGGGAGGAGGGAGGGAAAGGAAGGAAAAGAGGGGAGGAGGGAGGAAAGGAAGGAAAAGAGGGGAGGAAAGGAAGGAAAAGAGGGGAGGAGGGAGGAAAGGAGAGAAGGAGGAAAGGAGAGAAAGAGAGGGAAGGAAGGGGTAGAAGGAGGAAGGGACGGAAGGGAGAGAAGGAGGAAAGGAGGGAAGGAGAGAAGGAGGAAAGGAGAGAAAGAGGAGGGGAGGCAAGGAGAGAAAGAGGAGGAGAGGGAAGGAGAGAAAGAGGAAGGGAGGGAAGGAAGGGGTAGAAAGAGGAAGGGAGAGAATGGAGGAACAGAATACAATCAATGCTTAACAGTGTATATAGTGTCTCTGACATTCATGTAAAACATCACCATAGCAACCCATATAAGTTAAGGTTAATGACTGTATGAATTTCACACCTCTCCAAGGGTCCAAGTGGGCATTTTGTCTTCTCCTTTCGCAGTGGATATACTGGTATCACAGATTCTCACTGTTGTTGCTGTAACTCCACTTGAGATTATACTTTCGGCAGGATTCCCAGCATTTTCTGAAGACAAGATACTTTTGCTACCTGATCTAGCTGCTTCTGAGCTCATTGGCGTTTGGCTAGCTATTGCAGAGAAAGATGGAAAAGCTAGAGATGAGCTGTCACTCACAGGCTGGTCTTGAACAACTAATGTACGCCCATTCTCTTTGGTGTAAGTTGCAAAGCGGATATTGCGATTAATCTGAGGGACGTAGTGTAGCATTTGTTTGGTTTGCGCATCTTTTGCTGGATCGACAATACTACTCCCTTTCCAGGCTGACCGGCTCACTTCATTGCCATCATTTCCATTACTTTCCACCTCCTTCTTTTCCCCTTTCTGCTTTTTAGAGGCTGTATCACCCTCAGGATCTGTGGTGATTTTTCTCCTGCGTCCATCCTTTCCATCTGTATTTTCTTTTTTTTTCTTAATTTTTGATGTTTTACTGCCCTTCACCAAAGTTTCCTAAAAGATGCAGATACAGCCTTTAGCCAATCATAGTATCCCAACCCTTAACTAAAAAAAACACAGCTACATATGAAGATTTAGCAACCAGCTAAATCACAGGTGTAGAAAATAATTTGACTAAATGTGCACAGTTGTATAAGGAAAATGCAGAAACATTGTACATATTTTAAAAGGAATTATACAAAATGAAACAATGTAAAGTGCTGTTGTAAAAAATTGATAACATTATTAAATCATGAAGATATTACTATGGCATGATTATAAATTATCACAACATAAGCAGATTCCTGCATTACACATCTTGACTGCCAAACAGACCTCTCTGCACTAAAGCTTGTAGCAGAAGTGGATAAACAATAATGTAAAATGTCAGGAACACTCCAAGCACCATAATTCTCATAACTTGCTGTGGCTCTACTACAAAAAAAACAACAAAAAAACGTAGTCCACACAAAGTTTAACAGTTTTGATGTATAAAATTGTTTTAATGGATTAACATTAAAGCTTTGATAAAAGGTATATTTTTAAATGGAAAGTACGTTAAATTGGACGAGCTAGGGAAGAGACAAAGTTATCCAATTACCTGCTGTGCAGTACGAGGAAGGGCAGCCGCTGCTATGCATGCACCATTTTCTCAATAGGTGCCCACTGATCGGATAAACCCACCTATAAGTGGGCTCCCAACTATCATTTCCTTATACTGCCCAGCAAAATGGAATGGAAGAGAGGGAGGAGAGGCAGAAGTGCAAGGCACCTGAGCTCCACATTCTGAGTTAAACTTTTGCCAAAGTAATATTATGAATATAAAGTAAATATGGTAAAATGCATATGTTCTTAGCCATATGACACAGAGAACAAACAAACAAACAGCAGCTCAGAATAAATGTGAAGGAAAGGTTTATAAAATAAAAATGTAAGTAATTAGAACCAGACTGAATTTACACACAGCAAGAAAAGAAAATGCATAATAAAGAGCCAAAACAACCCAACCAATAATGGCAGACATTACCTCAGGCTGGAAAGCAGCATCATCAGTCAGCACCACATGTACCAATCTTGGATCCACAGACCTTGGCTCGCTTTCCTAAAACACAATCGAATTAAACATGTAACCCTTAAACAGAATTTGAGAATTATTAATTGGTCAACTTTATTTTGTACATTATGACCACTTAAGCTTTCATCTTATTGTTATGTGGGTCTCTTTGTGTAGTCCCTTGATGTATTGCTGGGCAGCACACTCAGACCTTTTGTGGGAGCACAGCGGAACAGATAGGCACTCTGTTAAGCGGGAAGAGAGTGACACAAACCCACACAGTGCTAGGATGCTTATCAAGACCTCAAAATCTATTCAACTTCAATAATTATACAATTATTGTAAAAAAGTAATTCCTATTTAAAAGACCACCTATGCCACTTTCCAGGTCAATTAGCAAATTGCAAGCATTAAAACATCTCATCTTAGATTACAGCATGGTTATGGCCAGGTCTGTAGCATGTCATTTGACTTTAATGGCACCTGGTCAAGAATATAAGTCGCAAACAAATTGGATTATAAATAAATAAATTAAAGTGTCCCCAAGCAGGGCTAATGCTAAGGCTATTGACACATTTATAAGGCTTTAAAGGACCACTCTAGGCACCCAGACCACTTCAGCTTAATGAAGTGGTCTGGGTGCCAGGTCCTTCTAGGGTTAACCCATTTTTTCATAATTATAGCAGTTTCAGAGAAACTGCTATAATTATGAATGGGTTAAGCCTTCCCCCTAGTGGCTGTCTCATTGACAGCCACTAGAGGCGCTTGCGTTTCTCACTGTGAAAATCACAGTGAGAGCACGCCAGCGTCCATAGGAAAGCATTGTAAATGCTTTCCTATGAGACGCTGAATGCGCGCGCAGCTCTTGCCGCGGCGCATTCAGCCGGTAACGGAGGCGGAGAGGAGGAGGAGAGCTCCCGCCCAGCTGGAAAAAGGTAAGTTTTTACCCCTTTCCCCCTTCCAGAGCCGGGCGGGAGGGGGTCCCTGAGGGTGGGGGCACCCTCAGGGCACTATAGTGCCAGGAAAACGAGTATGTTTTCCTGGCACTATAGTGGTCCTTTAAGGTAAACTGCTTTTTAGTGGGAATTAAAGTATCAAACTTTAAGATACTGTTATTTGCTAAACGAACACTATAGTATACAAAACTGTATCTTAACACCATAGTGTCCCTCTGCAACCACCCCCACCTGTTCAAGAAAGAGTTAAAAATCCTTTTTTCCCCCACTTACCTGAGTTGGGCTGCTCCTTTATTTACAGCGAACTAAGAACGCAATGTGCATGCACAGCGTGCGTCAAACATGCCTTAGACCTTCCACACAGGAAAGCATTGAATCAATGCTATCTTAAGGGGATTCTGAAGACGCTGGATGTCCTCATGCAAAGCAGGAAGCACCTCTAGTTATTGTCTGGGAGACAGTCACTAGAGCCAGTCTTAACTCTGCAATGTAAACATTGCAGTTTCTCTAAAACTACCATGTTTTACATTGCAGGGTTAAGGGGACGAGATTAAGGAGATGAAATGGTCTAGTTGCCTATAGTGTCCCTTTAAGTGATTTAGAATTTAAAAATACATATTTTTATGCCTGTTTAACCACAAGAATTAACTAAATGTAAAGACGTGTGCTATATACCTCATTTATGGCCACACTTATTATACGACTGATAGGATCTTGATGGGTCACAATTCCAGAAAACCACGACTCCTCTGCATCTGGAACGAAAACGCGGACTTCCTGACCCTGTATACTGCAAATACCTTAAAGACAAATACACTTCAATTACACCACAATACACTCAGAAATGACACTTAATTTTGAGAAAATATATTAAAAAAATACTACCCTATTTTCTTATTTGGATAGAAAAAGCACCCAAATAGTTTGTTTTAATGTTTACAGGATTAATTTAAAAATCAGTTGACACTCTTTAGCCAATATATAAAGATTTTTTAAGCAAATTGTCTGTCACTTCTGAAACTCAATTAAGGCCCCTTTGTGCCACTTTTTAAAAAGAAAAAAGAAAAAAAGAAAAATAACATTTGCTTATTTGAAGTTAACATATGATTGTTCTGCATAATGAATTGGGGCACTTATTTTTCAGCAGTACTGATGGCAGAATGTTGCCAATTCATTTAATCAAGCAAGAGGAGTCTGCCAATGAGCAAACTTCTGCAGTGTGATGCTTTTAGATATAAATTAGCAGGGGGTACATAGATTATAGATTACCCCATCTGCATTAAACAGTAGCAACATACATTAACAAATAACATACCATACGTCAAACATTTACAACATTAGTAATGGGTCATTAAACCCTAGAAAGCCTGGGTTTTAATGCTGTTAGGAGGTATTGCAGCTGGGGACATATTGGGCTAATGAATTGTATGCAGCATTCAAAGTGAGTGGTACATACAGACCTTTAAATGGTTAAATTTCACATGGAGACCCAGGTATCAATTGAGTGAACATTGCATACAGTCCGATTTTAGAAGGAAGCTATCCAATGTTACCCAAACGACAGCCATCACATTTGGCAGAATTCGCCAAAAAGATACTGAACAAACACAAAATGAACCCACCTCAGGAGGTTGAAAGAAAATTCAGTAGTATATATTAAAGGAACACTATAGGGTCAGGAACATGTATTCCTGACCCTATAGTGTTAAAACCACCATCTAGCCCCCCTGGCCTTGCTTCCCTAAATATAGTAAAATCTTACTTTTATTGAAGTCTGCAGCTGCTGCCTCTGCCCCTGTCTGCTTGAGACCTGCCTTCCGACATCATCAGAAGTGGTGGTCTGAGACAATCACAATGCTTCTCCATAGGATTGGCTGAGACTGTCAAGGAGGCAGATCAGGGGCAGAACCAGCACAAGTCAAACACAGCCCTGGCCAATCAGCATCTCAGAGAAAACACAACCTTGAAAATACATACCAACTGTTGACTTTAGTATATACTCTAGATGGAATCACATGCCTTGCCATGAAAGGAAAAGCATTAACACGCTCAGCTAATATTATATACAGATGTGAAGGTATACCTCGTAAAATAATATCTTGGATTTTTCTTGAGTTGATCACAGCAGTTACTTCATCCTTCAATAATGGCTGTTCCTTCAAAACCAGCTTATGACTGTCCACTCCCATTTGCTGTAAATAATACAGAATGTCAGTCTGCTTCTAATACAAACTGTGAGACTAGAAACACATCAGACAACTGTTATACCTGATAAAGACGCAGGTTGCTGGCATCTGGTAGGAAGTGCATTACTCCTTCTAAAAGAAATTCAATGGGAACTAGGGTTCCTAAACCTATCTTGTCCACCAAAGGAGTGAATGTCTGTAAATTAAGAAACATTTGTTAGTAGAGTCTGGCTAATCTCTTTTCAGTGGCAAGCTTCATCTACACATTAAACAGAGAACACAATATTGCTGTATTTTTACAGTAAATTGTATCATATATATAAAAGGCTAGCAATGTTTTACAGTGTAATATTGACACTGCCTAGTTTTGTTTGAAAACATTATACGCAACAGATTTAAGCAAAATTACTAAAATACATTTAGTTTTAATTAGCATTTGAAACTACAACTTTTTTTCAGAGCAAGTGCAGCTGTTTTAAGTCTATTTAATAATCTTATCTAGATAGTGTTTATCTATGATTTGTTGAATCACAGATGTACAATGAATGGAAAACTGAACTTTAGTAGAGAAAATCCCTGTAAGCAGCCCAAAATTGAACTTACTCTTTATCACAGACCACAGACTGAACCTCACACTTCAAAAAAAGCCTAACTCCAGCATCTTGGCAGAGTGCTATGGTGCCTTTCCAAACAAGAGCAATATTAAAGTAATGTTGAAAATTAAATGTTTCAGAATAGTTGTAATCCAACAGGTAAGGTTGGAGGACGGATATAGGGAGTCCTTGCTGTTGAGTCAATGTGGTTTATTTCCAACATTGACATGAATGGTGCCAGAATTTTTTGGCACTGGTGTTCCAAGTTGAGAGCATGCTTTTATGTTATGGTCGTATTCTACATTCTAGAGACCTTTGGCCCAAAAAAGCAACTAAACTGTGGTTAATCTATTCTGAAGCCATGCTTTTGCTGTGAACGAGAGACAGCCTTTGAAGCTAGAGTTGGTATACAGAAACAAGAGAACAGTTACAGCTCTACTGTAAAAACTATAGAGACTGCAACTCTTTGAGTTCATGTATCGTAGCCACTACAACAATCTGTTGTGCTTATGATACACAGAGATCCATTAACAGAAAAATAAAAAAACATTAAAACTGGAACATGTAGCAGACCAAACAACTATCAAAGACTGTCCATGTAATCATATAGCTACTTACCAGCGCTGGCCAATGTGTAGGGCAAACACGGCTACCCTCGATAATAATTGGTTCTTTTCGAGGTGACCAAACCAATGGTCCTTCAAGAAGTATCACCAAGACATCTTCTCCATGCACCTGAACCCAGGAGTGTTTTCTATAGCTTTTTTCATCAAACTCCACAAATACCTGCAAGAACATAATAAAAAAACATTAAAATCCTCTAAATTCTAGACTTTGGAATAAAAATACCAAAACAGCATTTCTGACTTCAAAGAAGAAATTTTTTATCGATATGAGTATATAAGTATTTGGTTCTAGATTTATAATTATTGTGACAGTCATTTTTATTTTATTTACAAAAACTGTCAGTTTCTTTAGTAACGTTTTTTCTTTTTAATTCCAAAAATCGCTTTTGGCCTTTTCCCTCTGAATGTTTCAGTTTCTAAAGTTTACACTCCTTGCCTTGCTCCATTGTTCACACAGTTCAAAATATAATGTCTATGCTACTAGCCAGAACTAAAAGATCCTTGCCACTGCAAAAGTTGCAATATGACCACTCTGGATGAATAAAGCAGCATGCACAGCTGCTTTGCTCCCAAATGGTTGGCATAGAATTTGACATATCCTACAATGTGGGCGACAGTAGGAGTTGCAGGATGCCTTGCACAGCATTCTGGATTTCATATTTGTAATCTCTACTTCCCTAATCTACGCTAAGAAAAACAAAACAGAAAAAATAATTTTAAAAAAATTGT